TATTTGCAACACTCCTCGCATTTTGTGATATTGCTCAGCCACGTGTATTGTGGCTGCAATATAAAGAACACCTATGTGAGGATCTACTGCGCTTTTCAGAAAATAGGCTTGACGCGGAACACACGTGCCTCCTCCAAATGAACGATGCACTTGCAAGCATTGGAAGGAACATCAACGATTTTTCGTTGCTTCCATTTCATATTGGTATTACGAAAAAGCAAAGAATTCAAAAAGAGATACAAGCAGAAAGGAGTTTGCTGCCTAATGAGGGTGATTTATTAGCCATCCAATCGTTGAATGCCCCTCAACAAGAAGCATTTGACACAATCATAAATCGTGTTCATTCTGGTGATGGGGGAGTATTCTTCGTCGATGGTCCGGGTGGCACTGGAAAAACTTTTTTGTATAGATGTCTCTTGGCAAAAATACGATCAAATCGTGGAATCGCACTTGCAACAGCAACCTCTGGTGTTGCAGCTTCACTCTTGCCTGGTGGCCGGACAGCCCATTCTAGGTTCAAAATACCGATAAACACAGATGATAAGTTTGTGTGCAATATCGGGAAGCAAAGTGCTGAAGCAACATTGATACGAGACAGCAAGCTGATTTTGTGGGATGAAGCAACAATGGCCAATCGGAGAACGATTGAAAATGTTGACACCACACTGCGAGATATCATGAATTGTGATAGCATATTTGGCAATAAAGTAGTAGTGTTTGGTGGTGATTTTAGACAAACCTTGCCAGTGATTAGGGCTGGAAGCAAGAGAGATTTAATTGCAGCAAGTTTAGTCCGATCTGAAACTATTTGGCCATCAGTTGAAAGATTGGCCTTGACTCAAAACATGCGAGCGAAAGAAGATCCATCTTTTTCAGAATACTTGATGCGAGTGGGTAATGGAACTGAAAAAACTATTTGCGGAGATTCTATCGAAATTCCGGAATCGTTTCTAATTCCTTACACAACAGAAACTGAATCTTTAAACAAGTTGCTTGCCATCGTGTTCCCTAACCTAGCTGAATTCATCAATGATCCATACCCTCTGATGAAACGAGCCATATTGACGACCAAAAATGAGTTCGTCGATGACCTAAATAACACCTTGATTACCACCATGCCCGGTGAAGAGAAATGCTACATTAGTTATGACGAGTTAATCGATCGATCTTCACATCATGAGTATGCAGACTTCTTACACACAATCACATTGTCTGGCTTACCTCCTCACAAGTTGGTGTTGAAAAAAAAATGTCCAGTAATCTTATTACGGAACCTTAACCCAGCTGAAGGGTTATGTAACGGGACCCGCTTAATATGTGATGACTTTCGAGATCATGTTATTAGTTGTTTCATAGCATCGGGGGAACACAAGGGCAAACATGTTTTCATACCAAAAATACCCCTTGAACCTTCAAAGGATGACAACTGTCCGTTACCATTCAAGCGACATCAATTCCCCATCAAGGTCTGCTTTGCTATGACAATAAATAAGGCACAAGGGCAGACATTCGATTTTGTTGGGCTATACCTAAAAGAACCCGTTTTCTCACATGGTCAACTGTATGTCGCAATGTCAAGAGTAAAAAAGGCTGATTGTTTAAAAATATTAATTTGTAATAACACTTTAGGCAAACACCATGCAAATGTTACTCAAAACATTGTGTATCAAGAGATTTTGAATGAAGCATGCAAAGATCCCACAACCAAATAGGTTCGTCCTACACATTGACTAATTTTACTACAACCATTTTACTATTAAATAATTCTTGCACTGTATACAGGTTACTATGGCAAGAGCACATGAGTTGGTGGACATCACCCCGCAAATAAAAGGATGGAGTTGTCAAGTGCGTGTTGTGAAAAAATTCGATGAAAGGCTGTCAAGCAGCACACCTGCCAAACGTTTCATGCATATCTTGCTCGAAGACAAACAGGTAATCATCACTTACCAGTACACCGTTACCATCATCAAGGGGTGATATAGAACTTGATCTTTGAGCTGAATTAACAACTCCAGTATTTCCTGGGTTTTCAGGGATATTAATTCGCTTTGCCTCTTCACAGGAAATGCTCATAGTTTTTGGTACATTAGTCTCCACATCTATTAGCATCACACACAATTGATATTAATGTTAGTCAACAATATAACAATAAGGAAAGAAAAAGTTGATTCATTTTTCTACTGATCATAATCGACATATATTTACTTCATTTGGGTGGTTTTGGAGATGCTTTGTGCATAATCTAATATACTAGAACTGCAACGAAGCACAAGGACTCCGAGAATTACCATTTTTAATCAGAGGCCTTTGGTTATGCCTCAAATCACTTTCGTCTTCAGGTTTTATTTTGGTTCTCACATTTTCTGGCGTAAGACCTACTTGTGCACATAGGAAATTGTACTGAGATTTCAAACTCTTATAAGCACTGCTGATATCCTTTATTCTTCTCTTTGCTGACAACAGTTCCGAGTCTTTTGCTTTAGTTTTCTGAAGTAGCTCCCCTTGTAACTCCAATCCATCAGAAGATTCATCACTTCTCACTTGAAGATTTACTTGGGTCTCTTCGGTATTTGCTCTAACGTCTTTCAGTTTGGCAAGTAGATGCTTCTTCACCTTCTCAAGCTCTTCTAACTTCTTTCATGTCTTTGATCTTTCTTGACAATATAAATCAACCTGTTTTAGCAACTTTTCCTGTAATTTCCTTCCCTCCTCCACTTCAACATTTTCCTTCATGACTTCTACCTGAAGCTCATTAGCATGAATTTCCACATTCTTTACTTTTTCCATAAGAAGTTCTTTCTCACCCTGAAATTTACACAGCATTTGTTCATTCTCCAGTTCCTTGGATTGAACCTTTTTTAGTAAAACCACATTGTTCTTTTTACACTTCCAATCTCGTTTAATCAGTTCATTAACTATTTTCATGTTACCGCCAACTTGAAGAGAAATTAAGAAGCGCGCTATATGCACATTATTATATACAATTTTTTCCTCAAGGGGGTTTCATTTGTCATTAAGATAGGAACAAGTAAAACTAGCTAAGCAACCATATTGAGCATTTGTTTATTAATTTGTTACTTTCAGATGAAAAACCAATCATGAGCCAAGTGCTATTTAACAAAAAAGATTAATTAGCAAAAAAATGCAAACACTTTGAATTCATGAGCTATTTTATATGCCGGTTTCTATGGTCATATATATACAGAGTTCAAAACTAATTACTTCTTTTTAATTACATTGTACCTCAAACAGTTAGTTATGTATTTAAAAAACGTCTTTATCTCTCTTACTATAAAAGAACTAATCATTCTAAGCACCTTTACCAACTATCAAAAAGGGAATACGAGTTCGAGCTGTGGTTTTTGACAATGACATCCCAAGATACAACTCCACACTAAATCCTGACTCCTGCTATACCATCTCCAATGCAAGTGTCAAACCTCAAAATCCAAACTACAGTGTTCCAGATGAGAGGTACAAATACACATGGATATTAAGTGGCCGTACAGTCATCCAACCCCTGCGCGATTCATCTGCTTTCATCAATGTGCATACCAAAGTATACAACGCTTTTTCTGATGTTTACCGCTGCATGAAATCTGGAATTGAAATATGTAAGTTTACTCTCTGAATTCTATACATTACATTTGTTTAAAACGTTCAAGAACCAAACCTATGTGTACCCATTTTTTGGAATTTTATTTTCCCTACAGCACTTGTTGGTGTTGTGATAGACTACCTCCCAGACAAAGTCATTCCCACCAGTAAGGGTGATAAAAACATCAAGGATATTGTGTTGGTTGATGAGAAGTACGTATGATATTATACTTACATTTATTTATCCTGAAACCATTCATTCAATTGTATAACAAAAATGATATGCTTATAGGCCGAAACCAATAGCACTGACTCTTTGGGAAGAATTTGCTGATAACGAAGGAAGTCAAATTGCCAGCTTGCTAAATGAGAAAGAATACCCACTCATATCCATTGAAAATATAAGCGTAACACCCTTCAAAGGTAAGTAGCTGTCATTATCTATCACTGACACTTATTTTCGCAAAAAACGTTTTTCCTAACACATGATTTATGAATAGGCAGAGTAATAGTTTTATGCATATATTTTAAACATCCTTCAACAGTTTTTTAGATTAAACAGCCTTGGACAGATTTTTAGTAATAGTTTATCACATAATAATTTATCTTGAACAGATTTTTAGAATTTTTGATACGCATCTTTTACTCTTTTGAACAGCCTCTTCTAAGTTTTTTTTGCTATATTTATGCACAATCTTGTTGATTTAGAAGTAAATATTTATCACCATAGATGGCCACCGTCACTTTGCTTTGTTCTTATTTCTTCTTTGGTTTAACCTCCTATTTATTTTTTTGATATCAATCATGGAATGATATACTCCGTATTTGTCATGTTGTAACTGTGTTTAATAATGTTGTTTCATTGATTTTGTCCTTTGTTTTAGTAATAAGAAACCCCATATATCATAAGTAACCGATACACCAATATAATGTTGTAAATCTTTTCCTTCTAATTTCTTATTATCACATTGTAATGTATGTACACATCATATGTATGGGGTTTTAAAGGTATTTCATTATCCACAAAACCCCATTCTACCATCATCATCAATCCAACATCTTCAAGAGCTGAAGAATTGCATAAGTGGTACGTTACTACGCCTCATATAAATATACATAATCTTGTACCAATTCATTCTGTATTTTCACGCAATAACATTTGTTCCACCTTGCTTTATGCAGGGCGACTGACAACCGTCCTACTCTTGATGCGCTCAAAATCTGTCGTGAATACAATAACGCGGCTATAAACCTTGCAAGTCCTGACGTGGAAGAAATTTCCAAAATATCCGACGTGCCTCCATCCATTGATCCGGTACACTTTACAAAGCTTAGAGCAAATAACTAATAATAGCAATATATAATTTCATCATAACAACAGCTGCTCGACACGTTGCAGGCAAAACCCATTTGGGTTCACGGCAAAATTAAGTTGCTGCTTGAAGGTGACAGCCTTTGGTATATGGCTTGTAGCAATTGTTTGAAAACGGTTTACGCAGATTATGATACTCGGTTTCCTTGCATGCACTGTGGCAAGGAAGATGCGGTTGGTACTCCAAGGTCAGCTATCAAAGATACCCATAGAATATATAGTCAACCTTTTTTAAAGATGCTTCTTGAATATTTTTATGATAATATTAGATCCAAAGTGAATGTTTCTATCACCGATTCTACTGCAACCATTGATGCCTCGGTTTTTGGACAAAGCGTTGAGAAACTTCTGCTGCTAACTAGCAAGCAAATTATGGAAGTTGAGCTAGAGGTTTACAACATACCGACCCACACAAATTTTATACTTCAAATTTATATACATAAAGTATTATAATTTGACACTGCCCAACATGTTGACTCATCTTTATAAATTATGAAGGGAAAAAAGGCATCATTTCAATATGCAAATAAACGCTTGGATAAAGAAGACTATATAGTGCAGCTGCGATCACAAACAAGCACCTATCAAACCAAACCAGGACCCTCCTATACCGTAACATCCTTACATGATGCATCACATTACATTGTTGCAACCAACGCCAATCCATCAACCCCGCCTTCATCAAAGATGAAGCCCCCGCGCTCGGGTGAAGACGACTCGCCTATTGAGCTGAAGCGAAGGAGAAAAGCTTAATTGTTTCTCATTGTTTTCCACGCCTTTAATCACTACAACTATTTTCATAGAACATTTACTTTAATTTCCTTAAAGCACTAGAACCCGATCACATTTTGCCCATTTCTCCCAGCAAAACATTTTTTTTGGTTTGTTGTTTCATGCGAACCTTCATCATATTATGGTTCTTATAGTCATCTTGGCTATTTTACCTGCAAACATATATTCTGGCCTATAAATGCTTTATTATTTATGCTTCTTTGTCGATAAATAACAAACTACGTATTCAATTGTTCTATTTGAATCACACTCATACTTTCACTAAACATTTACCGCTACAATATTTCCCCTACAATGGTGTTGGGCATTACCACGCACGCGCAACGCGCGTTCTTAAACTAGTAAATATTACAAGTATAATTATTACGGAGTACTTCGTTACATAGTTACATGTAGGATTAGAGAGAGAAGCGGGAATTGTTTTTCGGGAGATGGATTCTTCCCTTTAGGATTTGGATGCATTTGGTGAAGTAACTGAAGTTGAATGCAATTGGCAAAGAGCGTAGTATACTGGACTATACTCCCTATATAATTTTCTACTGTATGGCAATAAGTTTAGTCAAATTTTATTTTATGTAAAACTTTTGCTTCTTCAAAAAATATACTACGGAGTAGTATTTAAAGATTACGATGGTTTCAGTTTCAATCAGATCAGACCTCTCATGCTAAAAAAATGAGACTATATCAGACTTCAACAATTGTAAATTATATATAGAATTGACATTTATCATATTAGATCGAATAGATTAAATTTTGATGGTTGTAAAATATACATATAACAGACATTTATCAGATTGATGCAGACTACACCGGATCAAACTTTTTTTTTTGGATGAAAGCGGCTTACATTGATATCAAACCATTCAGAAAGTAGGTAAAACGACAATAAAACTTATGAAAACCGTCGTCCCGCGAACCAAACTCAGAGTTAATTACCTCGGTAATATAACTCGTTGATCCATTAATGGGCACAACTGAACCAGTGATGATAATCGCAGTTAGATCATCACCCACATGCAAACTCAAATTCATAGTCTTACAATAGAAAGAGATAAACCAACAAACAAACATAGAAAAATTTAGACCGTTAAAATAATTAAAAGCGAAAAAATAGATTTCTTCCATCAGCTTTCCAAGAACCTCCGGCGGCGGTTCAGGAGGAGGTTGGATCGCCTTCATTTCATCTTCTGACTTTATCGCCTTCACTTCATCTTCTTTCTTCATCGCCTTGATCGGCCCTTGAGTCACCTCCAGCCGAATCTCCCTATCCACGAACAAATTGCCGGAAGACAGCACCGCTCCTCGCCAAAAGATGATAGCGGGCAAATAAAACTCTAGCGGTGAAACCCTAGAGACAGGACGCGAATCCAGGGCGATGCAGTCCTCCCCCTCTTCCTTCACCGACGAAAAATCGATCGCCGCAGTCTTCATCGAAAAATTGGAGCACCAAGTCTGCCCACAGAATGCTTCGGTAAAGACCAACGTAACTAAAAGCCGATGATGGAACAAAACCGATCCAATGTTTTAAGTTATTTAAAACATTGGAACTTTATTAATTAATATTTATTTCGTGCACGGGCTTGAAATCTAATGTTATTAAAGTGAAGTACAAATTCTTTCTTATCAAGTAGTCCCTCGACTCCTGAACCTGTGTTTTTTAATTTGTAAATGCCACCTCTCCGTTGTCTGAATTGTTGTAAATGTAATCTTTGTCTTTAAATATGGTCTAGAACCGTTAAATTTTTTAACTTTTGACACATTTAGAGTTATAACTTCAAACATAGTAAAAAATGAAAAAAAAAATATCAATGAAATTTAAAGCGAGTAATGTTATATGCAATATATTTCCGGCATTTATATGCAATTAAAACTTTTTCACCTATCAAATTCAACGAAATTTGTTTACATTGTCTACTTTAAAAAAATTATCATAATTAATGATCATTATTTTCCTACTTAGCTACTCTTGAAACGTGAAAGAAACAGTAATGCTAATGAGATACGTAAAAAATATTGTTTAAATCATGTGATATTAGCTACTTTAAATATTGATGCTGCTATCAAAAGAGGATATGAGTTCTGGATTGGACTGGGGGGAGTACGTGAGGGCGAGGGCATTTTCAGATTTTCCTAGCAAGATTGAAGCTTTATTAACGATGAAGGGCCTGTTCTATGGTAAGATGTGAGTCAAAGGTTCTTATAGCATTGATGAGGGTCATTGTGTGTCCACCACCAATAATAAGCAATAACGTCATCCACGAATCCGTGACTAAGTCCGTGACTACGAAAAAAATTAAATTTTCAAACCTCAAAATTTATTTCGCAACGGCAACTTGTACGGATTAATTTAGTCATAGAAAAATTCGTGACAAAAAAAAATATTCCCAGGCGTCATTCACACGCAATTCACACGGAATGGCTTAGTCACGGAATATCCATGACTAAGTTCGTGAAGGTTTTTTATATATGCATGCCCAGCTCATTCAACAGAACCACACCAATTCATTCGCAGTATATATAATACAATATCTGTTTGAAAGATCGAAGGACGTAGTCCATCTTATGCCATTTTCCCTGTTTATGCAGATAAGGTATGTTATTTAGAATTAGTTGATTCAATTTAAATTAGTGAGATTGTTAATTAATTAACAGTATATTTAACTATATATAAACGTAGTGATGTCATAAAATTAGTTAAATTTTTAGGTTCATAAAATAATTTAATTAAAATTGATTAGCTAAGCGTAGTTTTAAACGTAGTGATGCATTAAGTTAAATTAAGTAAAATTAGTTAGCTACACGTAGGCTTCAAATAATTAAGTTAAATTAATTAGTTAAGTTATTAGTGTAGCTTTTGATAATATTAGTTAAATTTAAATATTAGTTAATTGTAATGTGTAAAAAAAGGTTGGTAATTAATTAACGAAATGAATTAGTTAAAATTAGTTAAACGTAGGATTAATTTAAATGTAGTGTTAAATTACTTAATTTTTAATCCGTGAATTAGTTAAATTTAAGTATTAGTTAATTCAAATGGGTATATATATATATGTATATATGCTCAAATTATTAGATTTTATTATTAGCAATTAATGTTAATCCCTAAATTAGGATTTGTAATGGGTTAAGTTTTAATTAAAACATTACTTATATTTTGTGAGTTGTTATTGTGAATTATTTGAAGTTCATTAATTTAGAATTGTTTATTGTGTATTATTAATTAGATTTTGATAATTTGAGTATTGTGAATTTCATTTAATTTAGTAAATTGTTTATTGTGTATTATTAATTAGATTTTGAAAATTTTTGTATTGTCAATTAATGCCATTATCGTATTGTTTGTAGTTTAATAATATTCATTGGACGTTATTTAATTTTAGTAGATTTAATAAATAAATGTTCCTAAACATATCAAATTAGTAATGTCATTAACGTATTAGTAGATATGGTTATTTAATAATATTAATTGAACATTATGTAATTGTAGTGCATTGAACTTTATTAGTAAAATTGAATATATTAATGCTCCTACGTATGAATTAGTGAAAATATTTAACATAACAAATTGTTGATAATGTTTATGATTTAAAGTTTTTAACCAATATATTTTTTATTATTATAATATTCAGGCATAATGTATAGGCAAAATAGAAGTTGGATGTGTGATAAAAATGCGGTGTTGTACGGAATGCGATCAAATTTCCTCGAGGGATGTGGGGAGTTTATTAAATTTGCACTTGAACACCCGGATTATATGAGTGGTGACAAAATCAGATGTCCATGTTCAAAGTGTAGAAATATCAAATTTAAAGACCCAGAGGATGTTGGGTGGGATTTGTACGCGGAAGGTTTCGTTCCCAATTATTATAATTGGACTTGTCATGACGAACCTTTGGATCCATCTCTAGCTCAACGAACGGTATGTTCGTCTCGTAACGTCCCTAACGAGATGAGTGGGTGGGGAGACCGTGATCAAATGAGGTGGGACCAAAGAATGGTATATGATGCATATGGTCCATCGATGTCTGAGTTCAACCTTCGATCCCACAACCATCTAACGATCCTCTCGAAGCCTCGACATCGTATCAAGCAGATGCGGATGAAAATCCGATATTTTATCAACCTTATGTGGATGAAGGTTTAGCTGAGAGATTTCAAGATGTTTTAAAAGCTGCCGATCAGCCTCTGTATGCTGATTGTGAGGGATACTCTCAGCTATCCGCCGTTACAGAGTTCATGAACATAAAAGCTGAATACAATCTCCCTGAAACTTGCATGTCTAGAGTTTTGCAGTAGGAGGGATGCTATCGCGTGATCATAGTCTCCCCGATTCATATTATGAGATGAAGCAATTAATATCTAAATTGTGGCTTCCTTGTATATAAATTGATGCGTGCCCTCAAGGATGTATGTTGTTCTGGAAGGATGATGAGACACTTGAGATCTGCAAGTTCTGTGGTCGAGACAGATACAAACATGTTCCTCAAAGATGAAATAAACCACGATATATGTCTGCATTATCTAAACTGTTTTACCTCCCAATAGCTCCACGTCTGAAGAGGATGTACGCTTCGACTGCTACTGCGAAACACATGACATGGCATGTCGAGCACGAAACCAAAGAGGGTATGATGTCTCACCCTTCCGACTGTGAAGCTTGGAGACACTTTGACCGTTGTCATCCTCAGTTTGCAATGGAGTCACGGAATGTGCGACTTATTCATGTTGACCGATCATGTTAACTCCTTACAATCTCCCTCCCGACATGTGCATGAAAAGTCATTTCATCTTTTTGACTTTAATTTGT